GAACGCTATTTAAGGTCGGCAGGGGTTAAATATGTAGCAAGGGAGATATTCTACCTCTAAAAGTTACATGGGATAAAATGTGTGGGAATAAGGAGATAAATCGAAGTGAAATAGTTGTTTTAAGGAGGCCAAAGTTGCCTCTTAGAGGAAATTGTTGATAAGATACAAAATTGGTAAAAATATGGCCATAAAAGGCAAGTATTTGGATACTAAAAGATCGCCCCATAGGGAGTAAATATGTAGCATGGGAGATATTTTACCTCTAAAAGTTACATGGGATAAAATGTGTAGGAATATGGAGATAAATCTAAATGAAATAGTTCTTTTATCGAAGCATCTAAGAGGCATCATAGAGGAAATTGTTGATAAGATAGAAAATTGGCAAAAATATGGCCATAAAAGGCAAGTATCTGGATACTAAAAAGTCACCCCATAGGGATTTTTAGTAGATCTGTTAGACAAGGTCTCAAATAGGGTCCCCTTTCCCCCTCGATAGGAAACCCCATAGAACTGTCCCTCCTCCAAGACCCAAGACCTCCCTTGACCACCTTTGGAACCAGCCAGGCGTCATCCTGTAAGATATTGAGACACTCTCCCTTTCGTGCCTCAAATTTCGAGTTCATTGAGCTCTCCACCAGCCCAAACCAGGCGCAGGAGCAGGAGCAGGAGCAGAGTTTTCTCATTAGCAGGCGGTCAGAGATTTTTGAATATTATGAACCCAGCCTCCAATGTGGGCGTGGACCACCCACCTGACCTTTCTAATTGTTTGGCTTTGTGACCTTTTACATTGGGTGTTGTTGCTGCTGCTTTTTTGTTTCTTTTTTTGCTGTGCCCTCGACTGAAAGGTGTCAAAAGCATTTGCCGGACTTCATTCAACGCCCAGACACGTGCGTTGGCTTTGATGATGGAGCGCTTCGCCTCCACACATGACCCCAGACCCCCCCACCCCCCCCCCTGTCCACCTTGACCGCTGGGCCTTTGTCAACAGTTGCCTTTTAATTTCACTTCATTTATATTCAAATAAAAAACCCCGCGCTTTGCTGTATCTTTTCTCTAATTGTTGTCCAAAAAATGTCGGACCACACCCACACGTGGGGGGGGGGGGGGGGAGGGCACACGTGACCCAGCGGAAAAATGACAAATGCCAGGACGGATGTGGGGGGGGGGGGGGGGGGGGTCGCCTGACACTCTCCATAACTCGACTCAAATGTGGCATGAAATGATGGCATAAATACAAATTATACGCCCCAAAAATGGAATAAAAATAAAACACTTGCTCTATCTAATGGCATTTATTAATCCAATTGCATTTTCCTTGGGGGATCCACGGCCCAGGCGAGGGTCAGAGACCAAGAACCTAATAACATTAACGACCACCCATCAGAGATGAGAGAACATTTTGCAAATCTAATGAGCCTCGACGGCATAAAAAAGACGCGCTCAGACGAAATTAAAAAGAATAAAACGACAACCAGAAAAAGGCAACAGACGTTGGCCCGAGAAGGCCAGAAATTGACAGCATCCTCAACGTCGGAGGGGGATGGGGGGGACGGGGGAGGGGGACCCCAACGAGGGTGCAAAATCAAGAATTAAAACGTCTTAATGGTCTGCGTCTTTATGAACTCGAACTGTCCTCTAACCCCTAGATGGGGGATGATGATGATGATGATGACTACCCCCCACCACCCTCCCACCCTCCCCCTCCCACCGTGCGGCGTTGCCTCTGCTGTTTCTGGCATTTTTCTCTGAGATTTCGTCCTCGGCCGCGGCCTCGGCCTCGGCCTCCTTGGTTTAGTTAATTTTCATGTAAATTAAGCAATCAAATGTTTGGGCTCTAATGTTTCAATTAACGCGTTTTTGTGTCTCTAAATTAATTTCAATTTTGGCGAACGGGCCTTGAAATTGGGGCACAGAAAGTGAGGGACAACAAATAGGTTTAAAAAAGAAGATACAAAGGCAGTTATCTGTGAGATACAGCATGTCCAAGAAGTGCCTTGAATGGGGAGTAGCCAGCAAAGTGGAAGGTGGGAAGTTGCACAAAAGTATCTTTTAGGGGAGCACCAGTAATTAGTAGTATCTCACAGATACAATATTGCATCTATGACTGCCCTAAACACGCCAGTTCTTGCCTCTTAATGAAGCAATTAATGCTGTGAAACATTTATTTTAATTTCAATTTGAACTTTGACAATCTGCTAACCCCCTCCCGCCCCCTGGAGCCCCCCCAAACGCTGCCTGGCGGCTTCTGTTTTGTGCAATTAACATATTGGCGAGAGTCTCCCAAAAGCCAGGCCTGTGCTCCAGCCACAGTCGAGTCGTGGATGCCACTTATCCGACAATCAACAGTTGTGTGTGTGTGTGTGCGGCCCCCACAAGAACCTGGGGGCAGCCGAGCAGTTGTAGGCGTGTCCAGGCCTAGGCCCAAGTAAGAAATTTGCAACTGCAGAAGCCAAGTGCAGTGGCTGCCACTGCTCCACCCACTATGGGGCACACCCCCCCGCGTCCCCCCGCCCCACTGTATTTTCGGGTATCTGGCAGGCGATCTGAGCCTGTTTCGGGGAGTGGAAGACTGGTGCAAGTTTGCATGCCAAGAGAGCGAACAGAGAGTTGGGCCCTCGCTTGATTTACAACAGTCGCCACTTGGCACAGTCTGAGTTATGGCCCGATCTGTGGGCCTGGTTCGGGCCTGGCTCTGGCTCTGGGGACCGTGTGTGTGGGCGTCAATTACCAGCTCATAAATTTCAATCGATTTGCCAACTATTGTTGCTCCTTCCGCCCCCCCAACCCCCCCTCGTTGGCCTTTTTTCTAATTGTTTATTAATCAACTCATTAACGATTTTGGTTTTCCTTCTCTATTTTTTTCTCGATAATTTTAATTAATTGTGCATTTTTGATTAGTTTTGTGTTTTGTGCGTTTTGTGGATTTGAATCGAGTATATTTGCCCAAACAATCAACAAAATGCTCGTAATTAAATGCATTCAAGCATTTTTAATTGTTATTTGCGCTAATTTCGATGCTTAGGCAAGGGCGGGACGCTGCCAGGGGGCGTGTCCCTGCCTAAATATGATCAATTATTGATGTGTTTTTGTGTCGGCACTGGCCACAGTCCTTTGGGGTGTTTAAACAAGTGCGGCTATGATTAAGAAAACTATGCCTGAATGGATAGGAGTTCCCAGAGCTCTTTTAGCCATCATTCCAGGTTTTAGCCTCGCGAAAAATGCCACCGTTAAGGCCTCTGCAGGCGACGGGCTGGTGACAACCCAATCACAGCCACAGCCCGAGCCCGAGCCCCGGACCGTGTGTCTGTGAGCCCATTCTCTGGCCTGTTAGATCTGACTGCATATTTTGTTTGACATCATTGTTGCACATGCCACGTGCTGGCTCTGGCCGTTGTTGCACCTGCAGCAGGCCACTCCGCCCCCCCAAAAGAGGCGGAGAGAGGCCTTGCAAAAAATGCAGCCAGCTGCCTGTGCGTGCATAAATTTGTGGCAGTTGTTGTTGTTGTTTGCGGCAGGCAATGAAGACATGACACCCGGAGAAAGAGAACACCTTTTTGTTGCAGTTGCAACGTGGCGGCTGGCCTTCAGCTGTCCCTGGAGCGCCCCCTCCCCCTCCGCCCCCGCCGGAGGATTCGAAGGTATTTGGGGCATCTCTACGCCCCCCCTTGCAGCCCCATGCCCAGCTCTAATTAACTGCAGTGCGTGGCAGCGACTTGGCAATAAATCCAAATAAATAACCAACGACACATGTTGGCTCTTGGCCTTTGTTTGAGGAGGCACAATGCAGGCCAGGCACAAACAATAGTTGAATGCGATGCCCATATGACAGCCAGTCGGCGGCAAACAGACCCGCAAGACAGCGCCAGTCATGGGGAGGACAAACACAAGGAGCCGGAGCAGGAGCCAGCAAGGATATCGCGTGCTAGCAAAAAATCACCATGCAAACACATCAGCCGTACAAAAGGCGCTGCAGGACTGGAGAAAGCTTTCAACCTGTGTGTGTGTGGCACCCCCCCACCCCCCCATCGCTCGAGGAGCTCCTCCTCCTGGTCTCCTGGTCTCCTGTCCTCCTCTGTGTTTCCTCCTGTTGTTCTCTGGTTTTGTTTTATTTTATTGTGATTTTTATGCTGGCATTCTTTTTGTTTGCCAAATATTAGTTCCATTCGGTGGCCATTGTTGTTGGTGCCTGGCAAATGGAATGCTATTGTGTTACGTTTAGTTTTCCAAGGGGGGGCGGGGGGCTAATAGCCGGAAAATACTCGTTTGGGAGAAATATCATCCGACTGCGGGGGGGATATTCGATAGTTGTGGGTATTTCACTGAACAGCTTTTATTTCGGGGTGCCTTTGATCTGAATCATGGTATTAAATATTTATTTAACTACAAGCATGTCCCAGAACCCTTTTGTTCACCAACGAATCCCCCATTTTATTCTACAGATAATTCTAGGAAATTCTACAACATTTTTAAAAATTTTTTAAAATTGTTATTACAAAATTATAAAAAATTTTACAAAGTTTAATAAAGTTCTAAAAAATTCTATAAAATTATATAAAGTTCTACAAAAAAAATTCTATAAAATTCTAAAAAATTCTCTAAAACTCAATAATGTTGTATAAAATTTTATAAAATTCTACTAATATTATGTAAAAATTCTATAAAATTTTTCAAAGTTCTAAAAAAATTCTATACAATTTTACAAAATTCTAAAAGTATTTTCTATAATTATATAGAATATTTTAGAATTCTATAACATTTTACAAAATTCCACAAAGTCTGATAAAATTCTATAAAATTAAAAAAAATGTATATAATTCTATAAAAATTCTATAAAATTACAGAAAATTCCATAAGCTTTTAAAAAATTCTATAAAATTCTATAAAATTTTACAAAATTCTACAAAGTTTAATGAAAATCTATGAAATTCTCTAAACATTCTATACGAAATCTAGAAAATTCCCAAAGTTCCAAAATAAAGTAAAATCGTCTTCCGCAGTGCTTTAAGCTTAACCTAATTTGTTTTTAGTTTATTTGTCAAATGGGGTTTCTCTTTGAATACATAAACATGGGCATAAAAGCAAATACTACGCGTATTGTGCTGGGCAAGGCCTGCAGGTCCTTCGCGGCTAGTCCACCGAGTAATCTGCAAGAGAAAGAGTTTCAAATTAGATACGTTTACGGAGCCCTCGGAGCCCACACTCCCACAGCGAGCCACCGTCCAGGCAGACACAATAATTGCTAAACATTTATATTAACTTTAATTGGGGCCCACGAATGGAAGGGGGGGAATGGGAGGGGGGAAATGCATCAGATATGTATGGAATATGTAAAGTATTTTATGATTTATGCAAGACCCTGCCCCTGCCCCGCCCCCGCCCCCGCCCCAGCCCCTGTCCAGCTCCGAGACAAGAAACAAAATCAACAAATCATTTTTCTGGGCAACGCTGACAGCTGCAATTTTTCACTGCTACTGCCACTGCCTACTGCCTACTGGTGGAGTCATGCAACATTTAGCAGCAGAGTCCAGTGGCAGTCTTTAAAGACCCTGCCCCCTGTCCCTGCCCCCCACCTAGGCGGCCAGCAACCCCAAAAAGCTGCAGAATCTCCACTAGACCCCAAGCTGAACCCAAAACCAAATCAATTAAATCCAATTAAATTCGAAAAACCACAAGCCAAGTGCATTTCCTGCGTCTTTGGGGCCCATCCAAGGGGGGGGGGGAGGAGGCGGGCGCTTAACCTTATCCGTAGAGTGCAAGTGCATTGTTATGGGGATCCAGACCCAGGCTGGGGCCCAGGCTGGGGCTTATCTGTCAATCTTATTCTAATTGAAATGCATACAGAAGGCACACACAGTGCCAGGACCTTCATCTTGGACTGGAGTTTCGTTTCACAAATTGACTTTTACGCATCAACAATTGAAATAACTCTCCACCCCCTGCCCCCTGTGGGGCAAAATCAACAAGTTAACTGCATTCCTGGCACTTTGGTTGGGGGGGGGGGGGGCTGTCATTCAAATTGATTTGGATTTTGGCCCCAGGCCTGGGCACTGAGTGTTGGGCCTCTCACTGTCTAATTGACTGGCGGGCGGGGCGGGGAGGGTGCGGGGGCCATTGGGCATGGGGATTGGGTCACTCGAAAGGGAAATGAAATGCCGGCTTAAAGGAGTCTTAAAGGAAAAACTGCTGCAAACTGGAACTTTATTCATTTTTGTCTACGAAATCACTAGAGAGGCTTCCCCCCCCCCCGCCTTTGGCCCCCAAATACCTGCCATTCTTTGGCCTCTTCGTCGGCATACATTTTTCCAATTTTTGCATAATATTTTGTCAAGCCCTTGGCTATCTTTTGGGTCTGCCTTCTACATTTTTTGCTCTTAATTAATTAAAAAAGTTGCGTCACCTTTTTTTTCTACTTTTTTTTTGGGGCTTGTGCGCAATTTTTATTTGGCACATGCGAAATTAGCGCCGGGCCCTGTTAAAATATTTGCAAATATTTAAATTGACATTTTTCCCGTCATGTTATGTGTGCCCCTCAAGGGGAGGGGCAGGGGGCAGGAGGGGGGGTTTGTTTTTGTGTTCTTAAGGGAACACTTTAAGTTTCAACTAATCAAAACAAATTCAATTAAACGACACAGCCAACGGATGGGGGATGGTGGGGGCACGCCAAAGTCGATTCAGGGTCCAGTCTGTAGACTGGGGTCTCCAATGGCCATCGGCAGGCAGCCTCCTTTTGCGGCCCGCTTATCTGGCAGCACAATCCATTAAAATTGCACATCGTTTACACCAAAAATCAATTCGCCAAAGCATTTAGGCATTACAAATGCCAAGCCAGCCACTGAAGCTAGTCCAGCGACAGGGCACTCCAGTCCAGAGCAGGCCAGAGACTCCAGAGAGCAGACCTGGCCTGGACCCCGGCCAGTGGCTTTCGGGGTCCCGCTTCAAATTCAACGCTGATGCCCATAAATTTCACATACGGCTCTTTCTCTGTCTCTCGTTGGGTTTTTTGGTTTGTTTTGCTGCTGCCTCCTGCCTCCTGCCTCCGTCTGTCTGTGGGGCTACCAAGCGATAAACGCAGACCAGTTGGCATTGCTTTGAAATGTATCCGCCAGATACGAGTAGTACAAAAGCTGCTGGTCGTGTGTCGCCTTTTAAGAGAGGAGCGGATCAAAGGGGGGGATCTAGGGCCTGCCTCTGGGCCCTGTCAGTGTCACCTCACGCGCCCCGACAAATGATGTCTATCGGAAACACAGAACCCAAATCGAATGCCGTGTATCTGGAGGGGACTGGGGGGCGGTGGGGCTCGATGCCTTGGTGTCAGCTTGTCGTGCGTTTTATTAGTTGGCAACTCAAACAGCAAATTGAGATTAGAATGTGGTCGGCCCCCCTGAGTTATGGCCTGCATTAAAGCGCATCAAAAGGGGGCGGGGGCCATTAGCAGGTGACACTTGAAGGCAAAGGCTAGAAGCCTAAACAGCCAGGGGGGCCCACCCCCCCCCTGGAGACCTCTTGAGGGCTCATCCAGAGGGCATTCCATTTGTGGAAATTAACATTTGATTGCTGCTCAATCGGGCCAGAGACCTCACATGTCGAGCATGTGATATCCTTGACATTTATGAGTTGTCATCGCTGTGGGGCCCCCTCCCCCCTCGCCCCTTTTCCGCCTGTCAAATGTGATTTGCATAACACAAAAAGAGGGAAAAACGCTTCCTCCCATGGCTGCTGTTTGCCTTCCCCCCCCCCCTGGACCCGCATAACTGCAACTGTCTGACTTTCACTTAGAGACCCGGAATGGAGGCCAGCATTAGGCCTTATTAGATTTGACGTGCTGCTCCCTGCCGAACAAAAAGGAAAAAGTTTTCCGCTTCTTTCAACCCCTGGCTACAAATCAAAAGATAAATTGTTTCTTCCCTCCAACCCCAAAGTTTTCCTTCAGCAACAAATATTAATATTGTTTGTGTTTTCTTTTTTGTGTTTTGTTGGCAATGCAATGGGGAAATGCGTATGGCAGTCGCTTGTCAAATTTAATATAAATTATTGTCCAACAATCGACCGAGAGACTCGACTCTACACACCCTCGTGGGGGGCCCTGGAGCTGATGTTTAGCTGGATTTCGTAGGCCTTCTTGGCCAGGATCTCCTTGGCCTTCGGGGTGGCCTTGTTGCAGGTCTCGTGGTCGGCAAAGTGGTCGGCGTACTCGTCCCGCTTGCAGTAGATGCACACGCCGTAGATGTACTCCTCCTCGCAGATGGTGGCGTTCGAGGAGCGGGCCCACTCCGCCGTGGCCACCAGGGGGAACAGCTTGCCCACGTAGATGTGCGACGACAGAGTGCTGAAGGCCGTGGGTGCGATGGTGGTGATCGGATTGTGCTCCAGATTGAGCACCTGGAGCTGTTTCAACCTGTCGAAGAGGCCGCTGGAAAGGACAGGGGGGAAGTGGCTTTAGATTTGAACTATGTATCGCCTGGTTTGGCGTCCACTTACGCTTGAATGCGGTCCAGGTTGTTGAAGGCCAGGTGGATCTCCAGCAGCATGGGCGTGTGGTAGAACAGCTGATCGGGCAGGCGGGCTATGTTGTTCCGCTCGAGGCGGAGGGTGAGCAGCCGCCGCTGGGCCTGCAGGAAGTCCCTGTGCAGATAGCTGATGTTGCTGCGAATGCCGATGTAGGCCAGGTGCTCGGACTTCCAGAACAGCTCGGTGGGCACGTTGTCGCCGCAGTTGAAGAGCTCGAACGACTGCAGCTGGGCCATGTGCCACAGCTCGTCGGCGGCGAAGGCCGACATCTCGACGCTGCTGTTCTTCACGTCGCAGTCGATCACCAGGTGCTTGAGCAGCGCCTGCTTGGCGAAGATCTGGCTGGCCACCTTGTGGATGTTCTTGACCACGATGTTCAGCTTTGTGAGCTGGCCGAGCGGGTGCAGGATGGTGGCCGGCAGGTCGCTGTAGCCCTTCAGCGTCAGCTGCCTCAGCTCGAACACGTTCTGGAAGAAGTCCTTCGGCAGCGTCGACTTGAAGCCCAGGATCGTGAGCTTCGCGAGGCCCGGCAGGTTCGTGTAGCGCTGCTGCAGCACCTCCCCCCGGTCGTTCTTCTTCGGATCGAAGAAGTTGAACACCTCGAGCTCCGTGTAGTTGGTGATCCCCAGCTGGGTGATCAGGTCGGGGATGCTCCGGGCGTCGGGAATGGCGCAGTTCTGGATGGTCAGCGCCCCGATCTTGCCCACCCTCAGGGGCGGTATGTAGCCAAAGCCCCGGGCGTCGAACAGCCGGCAGCTGACGCTGTACAGCTTCTCGTGGTCGCTGTTCACCTGCAGGGTCTCGCACTTGATGTCCTGGTCCTGGCAGTCGCACAGGCTGAGGTCCTTGATCAGCGCCTCGCAGCCGGCCTTTGTCAGATAGCTCAGAGTGGCATTTCCCTCCTGCCACGACGGGCAGGCCAGGGCCAAAAGCAGCAGCAGCGGCAGCACCAGCAGCGGAGGCAACATCTCGAGGCGATCGTCAAAGCCGAACTGTGGCCTGAAAGAGGGGCAAGAGGAAAGTGGCATTAGATATTAGTTTCTAGCAGCTGCTCCTGCGGCTCTAATGGTTTTCCCCCCGCAGGTAGCACGCATTTCTGCGTAATATCCACCCAAAGGCCGTCTGCGCCGTCCCCTGCGCCATTTTTCCCACCTCAGGCAGGGCCCCGCACCTCTCTCTCTCGGCCCCTACCTGTCCTACCACTTAATGGCCCATAATTTCCTACGCAACTCGCTCGATCTGTGCATAATATTAAACCATTTTGGATTCGAAAAAAAACCCGCCAAACAAAATGACTTAAATTGCCATTTGCGTGGCAGACTGAGGCACTGGGCGCTGGGCGCTGCCTGAAAGCGAGATGATCTGCCAGGGGTCCACGGGTCGGTCGGGGGCTCTGATAACAGTTGAAAATGCCCGACTTTACATACGTTTGGCGGCTCGGCGGCTCAGCGAGGACCCCAGGCAGGCAGCAGGGCCAAGAAACAGTGGTTTTTGGAGGGCGAAAAGGTGTCTTTAGGAGAGGAAGAACCAGGCAAGGGGACTATGGAATTGGGATAGGTTTTTAAAGCCCATTTATAGGTTGTTTTGTTACCCTTTTGCTGGCAGAATATCTGCCAAAGACAGGCCTCTTTTCATGTAGAGTTTCCAGGTTTCCCCATCGCCGACCCACTGTGCCACAAAGTTCAATGCTATCAACCTCTGCAGCCTCTGCCCGCTGCTGCCCCAACCCCAAGCCACATCCTCAATCGCAAATGTGGCCTTCTTTTGCTGCAACTCCTGGGAGCCAAGCGGCTGCCGTGGCTTGATTTCGAACAAATTACAATTCATTCTGGTTTCTGGTTTTCAGTTTCATTACAAATGCAAAAATGCAAAATGGCAAGCCGGCCATTATCTCGGCCTCTTGGATGGCTCTCGATGGCTCTCGATGGGAGTCTGTCTGTTGATCGATGATCGCTGTGGCCGGCCGATGATCAGGTTTGTGCCTTCGCCTTCGCCTCCTCCTTCTCCCGTGTATCGTTTGAGGCGTACATGCGTAAGTGCCTTTTGATCCCCCCCCTCCGCGCCCCCTCCGCCCCGTCCTGCCGTCCGTCCTGGATCGCAGTTGCATTCACAGATCGGGGCCAATGCATTTGAATTTGTCTGGCCGCCAGCCAAATCGATCGACAACCAATCAGCCGCCCGTCTGGCCGGGTCCAGTCCGTCAGCCATCATGGCCAGCCACAGCCACAGCCACAGGTACAGGTCTTGGCCAGAGTCTGTTCTGTCTCTCTGTGGCTTCTGCTGCTGCCGCTGCTGCTGCTGGCAGTGGCAAACATTTCATTTTTCACGATCCGCTGTCTCGTATTCCCAAGAGCTAAATCAATAAATTACGTGACAGGCATGCAGAAAACCCGATGCTTCTCCAACGATTCGGGATCGCAGTCGGAGTCCCAGTTCTAAGTGGTTTCTGAGCTTTGCTTCGTTTTGATTGAATCAATCAAAAATGTGCTGCATTTATATGAAAAGATACAAAGAAAGGGGCAGGGCGGGGCAGTGCTCCAAAATGAAGTCGAAATACCCTAGAAATGGGAGGCTGAAGGGAATTTGTATTTCTTTGAAAGAAGAGAGGTTTAAAGAGGTGTAAAAATGTTAAAGGAAAGGTCTAGAAATTACTGAGAACTGAGACCCCCCCCCTAGAGGTCTTTGCCATATCCTTGGAAGGCAGTTCTCCCTGTAGAGATATGCCCCTGATATTGCCCCCATTTGACGCTTGTTTCTGTGTTTCCTTCCCCCACAAACCCCCTGCCCTACACCGCCCTACCCTGCCCCTCCACATATCATTTTGCAGATCTTCTGCTGTCCTGCCAGCACATAAATTATTATTTTGCCCAGAGATACACACGGAGTATTCCTCGGCACGGCCCGGGCCCGGCATCGAGGTAAATTCGCATTAAATTTGATTGGTTTCCATTTGTTTGGGCCAGGAAATGCCCAATAAAGTTCTTAACTCGATTTAATTAACTTTGACAAATTGAACTCTAAGGAAAATGCTTGCTCGTTTTTTTGTTTTTGTTTTTTGCTTAAAAATAATCAACTTAAGGCATTGCCAGGGCTGCCTGCCACGCCCTCAATTAGTAATAAATAATTTGAGTTGAGTTTTGGTTGAAAGTTTTGCGTTTTTGGGCTAAGCGATGCATAATCCATGAAAGCAAAGTTCGGGAAGCCAAAAGGCCGGAACTGAAAGTGGAACCGTAGAACTAGAAGCCGTAGAAGCTGCTGGTCTTTTGTACAAGAAAATCTTCATTGATTTTGATTTTGATTTTCTTGTAGTGGAGCAAAATCGCCTTAGGCTGGAAGGCTGCCCCCCCCCCCCCCACACACAGAGGAGTGGGGGGAAAACAGGGAAAAGTATTTACCATTTTGAGCCACAGGACAGGCAAATAAATGGCCATAATCCTGCCCAGACAAAGGGTGCAAGGGCGTACCAAGTCCTTCAGGATGTGTCTGGCCAGGACGGAGGGGGAGGGTTGGGGGGTGGGGAGGGGGTGTGGCGTCTTTTATGCGTTCTACATTTGATTTATTCCACATGCAAATTGTGGAAAAATTAAGTTGTACTCCCAGGCCGAGGCCCAGGCGGAAGCCCGGACTTTATTCCCAGAAACGTTTTGCGTTTCGCTTCGACTAAATAATAATTCGCTTCAAATTCGAATGCGCACGTTCCACAAAGGCCCCAGGGCCCCCCACCCCCCTTCCACCCCCCTGCCACCCCCTTCCCCCTCTCTCCGGGCAACTCTTTTGTCCCGGGGCCCAGCCCATAAATGCATGAAATTGAATACCAGGCAAAAAACATTTCTGACAGAGTAATCGAGAACGTCTCCATCATCTCTATTTGTCGGTTTTCGGTATTTGCTGGCCATTGTAGTTCTCTTGTGTTTATTTATGTGTTTGCGCCTATTTATTTATTTTAATTAAAAGGGCACGTGTTGCTGTTTTGCTGTTTTGTTGTTTTTCTTTTTGCCAGGGCAACACACACCAAGAAGGGTGCCGTCGAGGTGTGGCAGTGGGGGCGGGGGTGGGGTGGGAACGGGTTGCGGCAAGTGCAATGACAGCCCCAATTACAGGGGAAAGAAGTAGAAGAAGGAACTTTCCAAAGGGAAAGCATTTCTTAAGAGAGAGAGAGAGAGAGTCACTCTTCTGCCTTGGAGGAGGCCCTCTTCTGCCTTGGAGGAGTCCCTCTTCCGCCTTGGAGGAGGCCCTTTTCTGTTGCCAGTTTCAGTGACTTCATCGCCCCCCCCAATTCCGCCGCATCGAATCCGCCTTCAAATGGACACTAAATGAGTGTCAAAACAAACAGAGCCGCCGCTCCAAACTGGGCGTGGATAAGCTGGAATAAATGGCTAGCAAATAGTAATAAACAAAGGAAGGGCCAGCAATCAGAGCAACTAATTAAATGCCACAACCCCCAGGAACCCAGGAACCAAGGAACCAAGGACTCACGACCCACAACCGAGACAAAGTCAAAGTTTTCCTCGACTCGTTTTCATTACGAGTTAATTTGAATGTAAATGAACAGACAGAGAGTAGGAGAGAGCTCTGAGGGGCGGGGGGCACCGAGAATGTTTGGCTAATGTTTCAATTAAGAAGACAGTGAAAAATTTAATTTTCTTTCATTTGGCCCCCCCTTCACCCCCTCCCAGAGCCCCCCTCGAGACTGTGGACTTTGGACTGTTGTCCCGGGTGATGTTCACAAGGAATTTCAATGTTCCACTCATAATTTCATATAATTTCCATTAATTGCATGAAATGAATGCCCCCCTTGGCTTCTGGTTCCTCTCGTTGGCCACTCCAGTAGCCATTTTCATGATTTTCTACGCACTTTGGAGCGCCAAAAGCGAAAACCATGTCTATGCTAATTTCCTTGTTTCGATGGCTAGTCGGCTACCGGCCTAAACAACCGCGTAACCACGATCGAGAGGATCGAACACTCAAGGGCATTTGGGGCATATTTTGTTCTGCTCGTGCTTGAGCTGGCTCGATGGCTCGCTGGCTGGGCCATGGCAAATCTCCAGTGCCCCGAGTGCCCGGGCAACGCCCCCTTGCGACTTGGCAATTGTCATGGGCAGGCGGTGGGATGTGAACAGAGAAATGACTTGTGAACCGAGCGATGGAATGACCCAGAACTCTCTCAGAATTTGGTTACCTTTCTCCAGTTTTCTTTCCCCATATCCCTGCCTTTTACCAGGCCAGGAGTCCGCCAGCCGACACTCATTTTCCGCACACACAGCACAAATTGCAATCAAAGTCTGTGCCCCCTCCCTCCCCCTGGAGGACCCCTTGAGGGGGGGCAGGCAGGCACCGACTTTTTAGCACTTCAAATTGGCAAACAAACAAACTCGCGTTCAAATGAAATGTGAGCATAAACAGAACAGAGAGACCCCCTCCCCCCCCCATCCCCACCCCTCCTTAAAGGCAAACAAACTTGAAAAGCAGAAGCGGAAATATTGCGCATACGACGCGTTGCACGTGGAGGAGCAGGAGGAGGAGGAAGAGCAATGGGAGTGGCGAGGCGAGGAGGGGGGAATCACTTGACACGCAAATATGCATAAACAAGGCATGAATATTCATGCACACAGCAGACACTTGCCACTCCATCAGTCCGCATCTTGAAAAGGACTCGTCCTCGTTCTCGGCCACGTCCTGGCCGTCCTGGCCGTCCCGCCCATATCTCGTTTAGAGATGAAATGCAATGCGCATTCAAAAATTTGCCCGCAAAAAATGTTTACCCAAGCTCCAGCGAGAGGTGAGTGACACCACAGTGGTGAGTGGCTATAAGGGAAGAGCCTAAGGGTGAGAGGTCAGGAATGCCTTCACGTCTTGTTCCACTGTACCGGGGGCTGTGTCCACTGTACTTGTAATATGCAATTTTCACAGCATTTGAATGAATGCCTTTGTTTGTGTTTGTTTTATCAGCTTTTTGCTTTTCTTTTTCTTTGCAAGCAAAATGCAAGCAGGTCATTCAC